ATGCTTCTATTTGTTTCTAAACCAATTTACATACACAAAGACATACACATATTACTGACTTAATATTTTAACCTGCCAAAACTTCAATGTTATTTATCATAGTAAATGATCAAACAAATTTTAAACAATGAAGAAAAATTTCACCTCATGTGACATAAACTCTACAATATTCTGGGCAGCTGTCAAGGACGTTAAAAGAATAATGCAAGTAATGTACTTCTCACCGTGGCTGGGCCTCTGTTTTAAGAAGGAGAGAAGATGAGAAAATACGGACAAGGGTTTATATGCACCTTGTTTTGGTCTGGCATCAGATAGATCAGCAAAATGCTTATTACTATTACCAAGGACACAAGACTTTTAAAAATGTGTATTTGGGGACAATAAGAGAAACATGCATGCATATCATCTATCTATCTATCTATCTATCTATCTCTCTATTTTCTATCTATCTACCATCTATCTACCGATCATCTATCTATCATCTGTCTACCAATCTGCCATACACATCTATCTATCCATTATTATCTATGTATCATGAATTGCCTATCATCTACTGTCTATCAAAGTTGCCTATCTTATCTATCTATCTATATATATACATAGAAGACGGAAAGATAGAGGGATAAATGGATAGATACATAGATAAAAGTGGATGGACAGATAAAATACACAGAAGTCATAAGCAGACTGATAATAGATGTTGAAGTGAATGTACAGATACACAGATGGATTAATAGATGGATGAATGGGTAGGTAGGTAGACTGATTTATAGAGATGGATAGATGGGTGGATGGACAGATGAAAAATCCAGAATTCAATCAAGAGATGGATGATAGATTACATAGAGATAGAAAAATAGATGGCTACATAGAGAATAGATAGATAGATAGATAGATATAGGATAAATGGATGGATAGATGATAGATAAATAGATTAGACAGATGATAGGCTGAATGGATGGACAGATTAGATAGATTATAGAGATAGACAGATATATAAATAGATACATACATAGAATGGATAGATGAATAGAGAGACAGACAGACAGGATGGATGGATGGATGGATAGATAGGTAGACAGATTGATAGATATAGCTAAATAGACTAGACAGACAGAACAGATATTTCTAAGATGCTGACTTGGATGTGGTAGGGTCGGTGTTATACCTCCGACACTTAACCATTTTTGTGTGCTGGGCACACTGCACTTTCTCTTCTAGTTATTTTCCACAGCGTTTTTAAAGGAGTTTTCCATCAAAAGTTCTGCATTCTACCCTCATTCCCAAGACAACTGGAGGAGTAAAAAACAATATATGTGTCAGAGTAACTTAGCATTTCTCCCCCGTAAGAGCCCTCAGATTTAGATTACTTAAGCCCCACAGAATTTCATCTTTGCAGAAATAATGGGAGCACAGAGCACCTCACTTAGTATTAGTCCTCAGGAGAAAAAAGAAAGTATAGCGATTCCATCAAAAGAGGAGATGGATGTCCACGAAAACAACACCTCCGTTCCATCTCAAAAGGAAGGGTTTTATACAACATGCTAAGAAGGGTCAGCACCAGGAGGGATGGCGCTCTCATTTACCTGCCCTGATGGAACGCATGAATGACCAAGAGCCTGATAATATATTAGTGAACCACGTACGCAGAAAAGTTCCTCCTGAGCCGTTTCCTTTGTTCCCTGGTTCACTGAATGGGAAACTCATCTCTTCATCTCCTGGAGATACCCAAAGACAGTGACAAACCCATCCAACATTTCTAACTCACCAGGGGTTAAGATGCACATGTATACGATATGACTGAAATGTACAGTGAATGTTTACGTGATTTAAAAAAAAAAAAAAAATGATTAGAGTAAAAGACGAATTGCCAAGAATCTATCTCAAAATCCTTCTTGCTTGAAAAAGCTCTCATCCCACCATCCTGGCCACTTTCCACAACAGCTCTGGAGTCCTTGTTCCTTGAGGGTCTTTAGCTGCGCTGTCCTGGTTGCCTCGATGTCCTGAATGGACACAACACGTTGACCTTTCCTGGTCATTTTGACCTTGTGGAGGAGCCGGAAGTTGCTCAATGACAGATCCAGTGACTAAGCTGGACAAGGACACAGCGTCGTGCGCTTAGGAGCTGCCTTTTCGCTGGATGGTGCTTAGCGGCAGCAGGGTTTTTGATCACACCTGGGAAAGACCCTCAGGAAAGAGGACTCCAGAGCTGCTGCAGAAAGTAGGAGAATTGACGGGATGAGTGTGTTTGAAGTGAAAGGGTGGATTTTCAGGAGGATTCACGCCAATGTCTTTTACTATGACAATTTTTTTTTAAAAACTTTAAACTTTCATCATACACTTCAATCTCACCTCATACATGTGCCCAATCACACAGGCTTGCCATATTACCCATTACCAACCACAGATATGATTCACTGAGCCTCACAATCCTTACAGGGCTGAACCTGTCCAGAGGATAAACCCACACATTATAACAAGTGGATTTCCAGGAGAAATCTTGTCACTGACAGCTGCAGAAGCAACACAACCCTTGGCCTTTACTAGATCAGCCAGTGAAAACAACATTCACATTATTCCCAAGGGTGGTGGGAATACTGCTTTAACAGAACGTATTTGTGATATGCTAGAATGCCATCTCAAACACTGTGTGCTAAATAGGTTTTTGCATTGGTCAGTTTTCTGTCAATAGGAGAAAATTCCTGAGAACAGGGAATGGGTGAATCTGGCTCATGGTTACAGAGGGTGCAGTCCATGGTCGGCTGCTCCAAGGCAGGAGCATCATGGCGGACGGGTGTCAGGGAGAAAAGACGCTCACATCATGGGAGCCGGGAAGCAGAGGGAGAAAGACAGTGGAAGGAACTGGGAACAAGATACAATCCCCAAGGCCGTGACCCCGATGACCCGCTTCCTTCCCTTGGCCCTTGAAGCTTCCATCAGCTCTCAACTGTGCAAACAGTGACAAACCACTGATTAATCCACTAATGAATCCAAAGTCCTCATGAACGAGTCACTTCCCACAGGACCCAGCTATGAATGCCGCTGCATCACAGGCCAAGCCCTCAACACACGAGCTGCTGACAGCAGGACCCTGCCTATCCAAACTAGCTGAGCACTACTTCCAGCCTAGCAGGAAGTGACATCACTGGGGCGGGGCCTTGCAGGGGATTGTGGGATACCAGCTGATAATTCTCTCTCTTTGACTTCCTGGCTGAGAGGAGTCAAACAGCTTGCTACCACTGTATCCCTCAGCCACTATGCTTCTGCCTTGTCACAAGCCCCAAAGCAGTGGGCCCAACCAATCCAACTGAAACGTCCAAAGCTATGGACACAAGAAACCTTTTCACTCTTTAGAGTCGGTTACTGCAGGTGTTTATTATAGCAGCAGAGAGCTGACTAAACCAGGACAGATCAGATACTGCAAATCCATATTCACTACTTTCACCTCATCTCCGATTCCCAGTTCTGGAGCTGTATTAACGATCACCTCGGGAAGACCAAACGGCCTAACCGGGTCAGGCTCAGACAATGCAAGCAAGGGCCCTGCTTTCCTTAACGTGTGGGCAGAGAAGATGAAGTTTAAGATGAGAACAACTGACAAAGGAAGCAACCAGGAGAAAACATCTTTCATTTCACTGATACAGAAAAAAACAGAACACAGCATGCGCCGTTCACATTCCCCACACGGACCCCTACTTGTTCCAGCTTGGTGTCCTCTTTACTTCACAAAACAGTTTACAGCGAATTTATTTCTACACGTCTCAAACTTCCCTCAAATTAACTGTTTAAGGACAGCGTTTCAGGAAAGAATCGGCATCGTGACTGGAGTTGAACACAGGAAGAGCGGATTAACCATCCCAGGCAAGGACAGAGCAAAGCTACCAGGAAAGGCAGATGATATCTGTGTTTACTGAGGCTGAAAAGTGAACCGACGGCCAGTACATGCACCAGTGATGGCCAGGAGCCTCCACCAGCAACACCGGACACAGCACAGGGTGTGGACGCCACCTCTAAAGCTTCCTGTGGACCCGGATCTCCGCTGACCTAGTGAGGGGTCATGGCGTGGTTCCAGGAAATCCAACTGGGCCCCTTTTGACCTCAGCCTATGGCTGCTAGAAACACAACTGTCTTCCATAAGCACCAGGGAACTCTCATGTTAAACCTTACAGACAAGGAGCGCTATTTCCTGGGGAAAATGAGATCAAATCAAAGCCCTCCCTGAGAAGGCAGCACAGGCAGACCTACTGTTCCTGAACAACCCCGCAATTCTCAGCCAAGATGTCACAGTAAAACTTCTTCTCCAATTATCAAAGCTAATTTTTTTTTGGAAGAGGACTTAAGTGCTTTAAAGCAAATGTCTCTGGACGCATTTCACTAAGCTGGTTTCTCACTGAGATACCCAACATGCATCTGCGCAGTTAGGTCTTCTGGTCATGTGTGGTCATTGGACTCCTGGCAAAAAGGATGAATTTACAAAAAAACAAAAAAAATTAAAATAGCATTCACGGTGTAGCCTCTCCTGTTCAGGAGATTGAACGCGAAACACCCAACGGAGGCCTGAAATTTGGATGGGAATAAACAGTACATCTACCACATTATTTTCCCTACATACACATCTGTGAAAAAGTTTAACTGATAAGCTAAGCCAAGTTAAGTGATTAAAAAATGACTAATAATAAAATCTAACCAAACTGAGCAACTTCATTGAAGATATGTAATACAGCAGGAGGATCACTGCAAGTTCAAGACCAGCCTGGGATACAAAATGAGCTCCAGGCCAGCCTGAACTGCATAGTGAGACCCTGTCTCAAAAAGACAAAAAAAAAATAGTAACAATCACTGTTAATTCCTATCATTTTGTTCTGAAACCCTGTATCATTTTTATTGTTTTTGCTTTGTTTTGTGTTTGTCTACGTTGTTGGTATTTTGCTATCGCTCTTTTATTATTATTCTCTTTCAAATAAAAAAAAAAGTCAAACAATTATGGCAGTATTCTGCAGTAAAAGTAAGGAGCAGGTGCTCTTTCTGTTTTTAGAGTGAAGATACTATTTTCAGCCTTCAGTTGAACACGGGTAGCCAAAACCATGGAACAAAATGCTGTGGATAAAGGATGGGACCAGTACAGATGCCGGGGTACCTCCGAGCAAAAGTTCTAAGGCAACAAATGAGAGGGCCGTGCCTTTTTCTTTTCTAACTCTTGCTAATACCACCAGAAAATGCAACAAGGGAGATGGAAAGTGACTTCTGAAGGGAGATTAGATATTCTACCTTCACGGACAACAGAAGTGAGACTCATCCCAAGGAAAGTGACTCCAAGCTGGTGAAACCTAAGCATTCTAAGAAAGCTTATGGCGCCCTGCTTGGTGTGTAACCAGTGCAGTTACGCAGGGAAAGCCCCGGGACCAGAGAGACGGACGTGTGCGGGCAGGGTGAATAAGGTGTACCAAGGTGCTCTGGGCGTCAGAAGAATCTGCAAATGCAGCAGAGGACAGGGACCGTGGACCATGCAGAGTTCCAGCCGGAGCCTCAATTTCAGGACAAGCTACCATCTGTCATAAAGAAAAACAGCAAATGCAGGTTAGAAGCAATCCCCCATTCTTGGCAAATAAATGCGATTGAACCCCCAAGTACTAACAGGTGCACTTTCCCTGTGCCATCACAATGCAAACGAAGTGGGGCTGGGGATTTAGCTCAGCGGCAAAAGCGCCTGCCTGGCAAGCGCAAGGTCGTGAGTTCGGTTCCCGGTACCGGAGAAAAACCAAAA